ATGGCGTGATGTCGACTACACTACACTATTGCCATAGGTGGTGAGCTGTGAGATATACTGGACCGCAAGTAATGGAGTTGTTGTGCTGTTGTCGCTGTGTTTCCACTGTCAGGGATCCCATATCAGTGTTTATATTGGGTTGTCTCATAACTTCTTTCCGAATTTTGGCACTTCTGTTTACAAGTCTTATTTCTCTCCGGGAACGACTGATCAACAATATGACCACCATCATTGTCGGAGTTATGCATGCATTTGTTAGGGAACGTTTGAGTGCTCCTCTCAGAATGAATGAAGCTGGGGGTCAAAAATTTGAAAAAAAAGAAGGGAGAGGTAGATTCTGTGGCTTTTGACGGTTCTTTCGCACTACTGAAGCCATCCTGAAGAGCTAATATACGCTACCTCTGGCAATGCTTGTCTTCATACATTGAAGTGGTTCCCAAACCAGGCCACCCAGCGAATCCAACAAAACGAGAGCGATATTCTCAGAAAACGGAGTTCGGGCTTTGGTTGAGCTGGTGCTTCCTGGCTGCGAGGCAGCCATCAGACGTGCCGCATGTTGTTGTCGCAGTGGACTCATGACTCATCCCACTGGTGATCCGACTAGGGAAGGCTCTATTAATGAAGTGGCAAGATGAAACTCCTCAGAAGGTCTTCATCATGATCCGTCGTGCATAAGGTTTCCATCAAGACATCATTCTGCTGCAGCCCTTAGCTTTCAGATGGCGAGTACACTACACTGGTAGTAGCATCCGTATGTACTTCCAATTTATGGCGCAAGGGCTCTCCATCAAAAGAAACTGGAGGCCCAGAATAAGATTGATCTTCAGCTCGTATCATCTTTGCCGTCGCGACCGAGTCACTAGTTCAGTGTCCGATCAGTAACAGAGACTTAGCCAAGCACAGCGCTGATCTTATCCACGTCCTCCTTGCAACAGAGTTCATTTGAGGATCGTAAAGCATAATCATTCATTATTGTCACTGACCTATTTTTATTCCTAGTTGATTAACCCGTTACGGGCTTGCGCTTCCGAAACCATGCTGTTAAGGCTCTTGAAGCATACTTCAACATACTAACGTATTTCGCAATGAAACGGTCTTAGACGGAAGTTAATTTGAATTTTAAAACAATTGGACGGGAATTATGAGAAACCCAATATATCGCCCGTAAACAGTTGGTGTCTGCGTCTCTTTAATCTCCATTCTTCTCGTTCCTCGTCTCCAAGTCTTGTATGGGCACGTTTTTTTTCTGTGCTGTAGGCCGTACAGTACCTTCGATTATTAATTAAAGCCTCAGGTCACATCATGTTTACTGCTCTCTTCCTACGTAATTGGAGCAATCTTGCCTGCTTTCTATTCTGACGATCTATACAGTTATAGAAAGGTGGGGTTCCCTTGAAGCGAGGGATTACGATAAAGTGTGTGTGCAGCGTTGAAGTGCATACATCGTAGGCAGAAGCTAGAGGCTGAAGAAAGCGAGACATGGCTTTTTTGTGGCCAAAGGTGCATTAGTTGCAGTGCCTCAGCGCTGCCAATCATTTCTGAGCAGCGCCTCCGCCTGCATTGCCACTAGCAGCTTGTTCCATGTGACGCATGCGCGGGAGACGGTAAAAAAAGGCCCGGTGCACTGGCTCGTTCACGCAGAAATGCTCTTGTTATTACTTAGAGAGTTGGAAATGGTTATACCACTGTCCAGTGGGGTGTTAACGTGTAAAACACCGGAGGCTTCTCCTTCGCTGCAGCATTGAAGCTATCAAGGACTGCTGTGATCAACGAATAGTATGCCAATGAGGAAACATCGAAAACTTTTCCTACAATTGGAAATGTATGTCCCCTCCACGACAGTCTAGATCAGGATTTTCAATGATAGCGCAAGGTTGAGAATGTCAAAGAGCTCACCTGAAAGGCCTAGGAAGAAATTAACCGTGCAATGACTAACTCCTGACAACTTAATCTGTTTCTTTGATACTCAGCATCCAATTAGCGGGCAAAATGCAATTCGAGGAAGGACCTCGGGCTCGCCTCGCTGCCTTTTGAGCTCGAAGTCGGCCTTTTGGGAAATCGCTCACGCAGTATCATCACCTATATTATTTTATAGTATTGCCTTTCCTTGAAATTTTCAGTTTAAAAAATGTTCGAAATTTTGGGGCACCCTAATAAGGTTTACATGTGAAGGTAACGTTAGCCTTTTAAGCTGTTTATTCAGCCTTCGTAATCCAGCATTCATGGCGAACACAGAAAAGTAGTGGTTTCAGCAATCCTCCTACTGAACCTGACGATGATCTTGCGGATAGTAGTGTGCGATCCAGGTGCTACTATGCTATGATGCGTTGTTCTGCGAAAACCAGGTGAGTGCTTAATAGCGATATAGAAATCTTCCAGCAGACTTAGCTTAACTAACAAGAAAGACTACCAGGTCACCATGGCCATTCAAGAAGAGATGTATACCACTAGATGTGCTTGAACGCTGATCTCAAATCTACCTTCCAAATCTGCTAAACGATTCTCTGAATGGAGTTATGAAGCAAAACAGCGCAACGGTAGTGGTCGGGACTCACAGTCAAAAGTCGTAGGATCGGTCCCTTGTCGTATTAACTGTTTTGCCTTCTTCGCGAACTTACAAGGAATGGTCAATTGGTCGGTCCGGCCATTTGTAATGAGGTGTAGTCCGATGCACGCGTCTTGCGACGCTGAGCTCAAATCCGTTTTCGGTTTTTGCCGAACGATTCTCTGAACGAAGTTACGAGGGATTCTTCTCACTGTGGCTATCTCACTGTGGCGCCCTCTACATCCCCCTATCCCACTTGGCTCACAAGAAGAGCCGCAGAGAGCATCTAGTACAGTGGGTCTGGTGGTCTAGTGGATAGCGCTCTTGCTTCATAGGGATGAGGTCAGTGTTCGAATCCTTGACCGTAGCAAACTTTTGCATTTTTTCAAGGCTGCTCATACGAGCCCAGAAAGCGCTATAATTGGTTATTTTGTTATCGTTCTGTTCGTTCGTTCTGTTTTTACGCGAGCCAAGTGGGATAGGGGATGTAGAGGGCGCCACAGTGAGATAGCCACAGTGAGAAGAATCCCTCATAACTTCGTTCAGAGAATCGTTCGGCAAAAACCGAAAACGGATTTGAGCTCAGCGTCGCAAGACGCGTGCATCGGACTACACCTCATTACAAATGGCCGGACCGACCAATGACCATTCCTTGTTAGCTGAATAGGCTTTTAAAAGCTTGTTTTTCTTCTGCCATATTCTCAACATGCCCAAGTTTCAAGAATACCGAACATGGAAGCTATTAAACACGTTGACGACAGCGTGACGCGCTAACGCGTTCCACTTTGCGCACCTCGGGGACATTGTGACGCGGTAACGCGTCCCACCCAAGTCATCCTTTTTCTTGCGCTTGTGCGACTTATTCCTAAGGTCTTTGTACTCATTCTATAGGCACATACATTAGCATGCTTAAAAACCACATGGCTCACAGAAAGTGTTGGTCATAGAGTCTCTTTAGTTTAGCACGAGGCATTCTCCCACGCAGTGGTTGAGTAAAAAGAATAGATAGAAGAGCGGAATACCAAAACCTAGTTCGTCCTGAAGGGATAAATGGTGTTATTATTAGAAACAACCACGTCAAGAGGTTAATTTTGGCGTGCCGCTGGAAATGAAGATCGCAGTAAAGTTGCTGTTGCAGCACATGTTATTTCGTCTAACTTCCTTTACCGTAACTCCCGATAAGCTGAGAGATTGAACATTATTGAAAACACTTCATCGCATCTAAGTATTGCGCATTTACAGCTCAAAAACCATGGGTTTGCTGTGCGGCGGCTGCGCTAATCACATCGGGGCTTCTAGGTCCACCGGCGTCGAGAAAAACGCAAAACGCGCGATTTGTCAACGTGTTTTTAAAGGGCGCTTTTCGGCCGCTCCCCGAAATTGATAAACAAGAGACGCTGAGGACGATCCGCATGTCCTACAACGTTTTGACTGTGAATCCCAACTACTTGCGTTGTTTTGCTTCCTAACTCCATTCAGAGAATCGTTTAGCAAATTTGGAAGGTAGATTTGAGATCAACGCTAAGAGGCACATCTAGTGGTAAACATCTCTTCTTGAGTCGTCCCGGCGACCTTGTAAGCACTGCAAGCTTACTCCTTTCCCGACCGGTCTGATAACGTTTAGAATGGAATTTTGCTTGTTAATAAAGGTGTACAGAGATGAATAGTTTTTTGCTGTTTGGGTGGTATGGGAAGTATGTATTCTGAAAGTGCATGGTCCTAAAAAATCCGTTACAAAATCATCCTCTCGATATCGAAAGACCTAATCACTCCATTGGTGTTTGTATCAAATTCCACACCATCGATGGTTGACATTTGAGGCCTGAGACAGTCGCGTTTGTAATAGATTGTTCAATTTTTTTCGTTTTCGTTTTCATTTTTGCCCAGTAAGAACGCACAAACATATCAATTCCAACTAAAATGTAAAAAATCATGGGTACAGTAGGAGCAAAGAATATTACAAAGCACAAGGTACTAAGGTTACTTTAGGAAGAGGCTGTGAGATTAATGAATACTTTTGTTCATGGCAAGACATGCTTTGTTTTGAGTACGGAAATTGAGAAATGCTAACTGTGGTGAGGAAATGTATTAGTAATGAAATGAATGAAGGGATGAGGATGACCACGCCGTGCAACGGCTGGTGCTGAGGCACCACTTTAACCTAAACAGAGGCCTCAGGTGTAGGCAGGAGGGTACTCACGAAGGAAACCAGTTCAATTAGTTCATAGTAAAATAGAATTATTTTGTTTGCGGGGGTATGTTTTCGTTTAGTAATTAATTTGATTCATGAAGAGTGAAGGCTATTACGATCGATTCAGATCTTGCTTGAGTTCTATTGGTCCGGACAGATACGACGATAGCGATGCTTTGAACGATAATGTGTTCAATCCGCTCGAAGCTCTCAACGCATGCATCGTACGTCGATTTTGTTGTCTTCATAATGAATCTAACAAATAATGGATATATCAAATCACATCAGACTTGTGGAGTGCATTGCCATCGAGTATGCGCTGGTCCACCGTGGTCCACCTACACTCCGGAGGATGATGGAGAGGAAGAAAAATGGCAATGCGAGGAATGCAGGTGATCTTGTAAACGAATGATTAGTTTCCCATTTTTGATTCACAAAATTTCGCAATTTACATAGTCAAATGATAGTTTTATTCCAAGAGTTTGGCATTATACAGAGAAATTTGTTCGCCTTCAATGCACAGCAGTGTCAGTACAAGTGCAGCACGTCCTACTCAAGGAAACGCAAATGGAGGAGTTCTGGAAATGGCGAATGCTTCCCGCTCCAATAGAAACGAATGTAAGTTGGCTAGGCTTGCGAAAATGAAGGCCTTTCACATAGGCATCACAGCCAAATCACTTTGGTCTCAACTTTATTCTACCTGTCCGCTTTTTCCATTCTTATCTTCGAAATTTGGAATTAACTCAGCAAATGTCGCTATATCACGTATGAAATCGAAAATTACATTATTTGAAACCGTGTCACTTATATTTCGATCAATTTTGGTTACTGCTTCTTAATCAATGTATTATAGCAGACGAAAATAGGAATTCACTGGAAGACATAAATACAAGGATGATTGATTTGGAATTAACTCAGCAAATGTCGATATATCAGTAGATAAAATGAGAATTACGATTTATTTTGAAACTGTCAACTTATATATTCGACTCGTCAGCACTCAGTGGGCCGTTAAGGAAGCAACCGCTTCTCAGGAGATGGTTCGCTTTGATTTTTTTCTTCTTGAACCTATATTCTGTTATCTTCTCCTTTGTTTAGGCTCACTCCTATCAACGACCGCGATTTGCATTGACCTAACGATGCAGAGACATGTTTGAACGACCATTTCTTGATCTGAGCACATTCCAAAGGTTTAAGTCTATTACTGCAGAATTATTCATGTAGGCATGTTTGTGTAGTATGAACTCTTGCCTTTTTGACTTTTTTGTATAGTTTTGAGTAGCCACATTACCTGTATAAAGTCTTAGTTTTATGTTCTCCTCATTTGTGGCAATTATAATGTAGTTTTAAAGTCAAATAATACTGGCTGTAAACAACTGCATGCTGAAAAAATGAGCGCCAGCAGTTTTTCATTTTTTTTCTTACACTTCCAGTGTGTTGAGTATACGGTATACTGTACTAACCATATGCAATCTACGTGAGGCATTTTCTAGAATATCAGTATCATACTGAATCGTGAAGCAGAATAAATCAGCGAACCCTTTTTTTCTGGGAAATATGTCAAACCTATGATACCCTATAATGTAGATCACGTGGAGATCACTTATGGTAGAGCCCGTGTGTGCATATGTGAGCTTAGGATTTTATGAAGGAGCGTTATGAGAGTCGGATGGAAAGTTTTAGAATTACACATAGCAGTGGTTTCATTGGTATTTTATGGACACTATCCACTTCTTTACTACCGCGTGCAAGAGAGGTCCGTGTCCCTCGAGCGAGGAGGATCCACTGGACCACTCTTGCACGCGACAGGGACGAATGGAGACGTTGCTGGCGCCCGCTCGAGCAATGGGACGGCAGGTGATACAGGTGATCCACTTCTTGACCAGTGGTGGGTTTGTACCTAGATAGGTACTCGCTCTTCAATATGACAGCTATGCGTTCCATACAAATTTATCTATCACACAAACTGGGAGTGTTCCAATGGTGAGTAACCAGTCAAGTGGCGAAGCAAGAAATTTTGTTGGGATTAGAAGTCCTCTTTTTTTTGGGAACGCGCGTAATTTTTTGAGAAACATTACAGAACATCCTAACTCACTCGAATAATCAGATTTTGCTGTAACAAGACTCAAGAAGGGATAACACTGGGAGCATCATCCCTGAT